TTTTTTTTTTTTGTAGATGACCCTCTTTGTCACAAGTTGCTCATTTTATTGATGCCAACTCACACAATTGGAATCTAGAAAAGTTTTTCTCCCTCCAAATTTGGTAACTCAAATACAAAATGTTTCCCTTCCTTTTCCCAATTCACAAGTGACAAACAAACTGGTATGTTGTAAGACTCCTCATGGCCACCTTACATGTTCATTAGGCCTCCATTTTTTGTCCTCTTCCACTCCTATCTCCTCCACTTCCCAATACATAAAGGTTGATATGCATTGGACTCATTTGTGGAAACACAAAACTATGCCACCTGCTCTTAAAATGTTTTTATGGAAAAGTGCTTTGATTATTATATTATTCCATTTGTTAATAACTTGGGGAAACACAATTGCTCTATTGAGGGTGCTTGTCATGTATGTTCTACCACCAAAGAGACTCTGTTACATTGTTTGTTTTTCTGCTGCACCAGTCGTCTGGTTCGACTCACACATGCACTTTAAGACTGCTTCTTTGAATTTTTCGAAGGTTACATATTTCATTTATTTCTGGTGGAGTGAAGACATGAAAAGTGGTTCTATTGAGCATGGCCTATTATTAAGTGGTGCAGTTATTATGCAATGCATTTGGCAGGCAAGAAATGAAAAAATTTTTAGAGATGCTAGTTTTGATTCTGCTACAATTATTTGTAAAGCCCAGACAATCATCAATAACTRTGCGAAAATTACTCGAGTAGAACATTCCCCACAAGAACAAGACCTCTACCCTTCATAGAGATCATTTTGGCCAAAACAATCCCATTGCACTGTGATAATGCCCAAATGGCTGAGAGCCTTATTGGAAGGTTTGTCATTGGCATCTACCTTATCATTGTCAAATGTGGTTTTTGAGGGTGATGTTGAAAGTATCTATAATCTCTTGTTGGTTGATCAGTTTGATCCACGGTGGCAACTTATTCATGTATTAGCAGCTTGTAGAAGTTCATTTCAAACCCTTTCAAATTGCTTGGTGAATTGTGTTCACCGCTCAACCAATAAGGTTGCCCATGCTATAGCATAACAAGTAGGAGTGGATTCGAGCCAAGCCGAGCCGAATAGCTATTCCAGCTCGACTCGACAAGGTAGTACGAGGCTCGAGCTTGAGCGCAAGCTCAGTTCGAGCTAAGACCTTGAGCTCGAGTCAAAAGCTCGTAAGGTCGAGCTCAACTTGAGAAAAATGTTTTATAAAAATAAAAAAATTATATATAAAAAATATTTTTTATTTGATATTTAAAAAATTAAGAATTATAATAATTAATTATTATATATAAAAATAAAAAATATTATATATATAATAATAATAATWATTATTATTATTATTATATGTATGCATGTATGTATATAACTATTCGAGCTTGGCTCGCAAACCTCACAAACCAAGCTTTATTAGGCTCGAGCTCAATTCGATTAACAAACGAGCCTTTAAATTGGGCTTGAATTTGGTTAAAACCGAGTCCAACAAACTGGAATAACTCGTAAAGTGCTTGGTTCGTGGCCACCCCTAAGCAAGGACTCTATTCGGGTCGGCCTTATACTTGGTCTATTTCTCCACATTTTTTGGTTACTTTTCTTGTAAGCGATGTTCCATCAAGCTAATTTAATGAAATAGCCTTCTAGGTTTTTTCTCAAAAAAAATAAAAAAATCCTAGAGACCACACTTGAACAATAGACCAAGGATCCATGCGGTCCACTAACGGTCCGGATTCGACACTAGTACTTTGCTGAGGACATATTCCTTTTCATATCTATGGTCCACCCCTCACTAACCGTTGATGAAGGAACTTGGGGCCGGTTATATAATTCTCACCTTTAGGTTTGGGACACGAAACAGATCATTTCAAAGTGTATCATTACACAACATCTGACCCATATTCGATCGGGTTAAAACAGTTATGGGTCGAATAATTTCACAACGCAAATGATGTAATGAACATGGGTCGGTCATTCGGATATATACTCGGTCTCGGTGCTTAATTACGCAGTGCAGCTTTACTCCGCTCAGGAGCGAAAGTTTCAGAGAGAAAAGCCGGAAGAGAAGATGAAAATAACATGGACGAAGAAGAGCGGCAACAAACGCTCTCTCCCCGCCATAGCTCACTATCCGAATCTCCCTTTCGAACAGAACGAAGATGACCAGAGCGAAGCTGACAGAGCCCAATTAGGGCAAGGGAACCACCAGAAGGATCAAGAAACGCCGGAGTCGGTGCCTCTTAACCCAGATTTAGAGCTCGCTGAATCCTTTCAATCTCAGGGAAATAAGTTTGCACAGGTATTTAATGCTTCTTCTCTTGTTTTCTTTTTGATCCTCTGTTCAATGGTTCCTTTACCCCTTTTCTGGTTTAGAAAAGTCAATATTTTGAGTATAAAATATAGAATTTAAACACATTTTGTTGAATTTGGATATACCCATCAATGCTCTTTATTAGTTGTTGCATGCTTATTTTATATAATCCCCAACCTATAACGGAAAAGATGATTATGGAGTCAGGATCCGGAGGAGTCTCGCCAGCTTGCCATGTGATTCTTCTTGGGTGGTATCATTCCCCCATTCTAGAAATCTGCCTTGTCCTCAAGGCCTGCATTAGGAAACTTCTGTATCAGCTCAGACCAGCATTCCCAAGTGGCATCCTCCCACTGTGTACCCTTCCATTGCACCAATACCTCGGTCACTGCAACATTTCTTTGTTTCACCATGCGTCGATCGAGGATAGCGGCCTGCTCTAGATGTAATGCCCCTTCTGCTGTTAAAGGTGGAAGAGAACCACTGGAAGTTCCAGTGAGGAGTCCCCTACTTTAGCCTTCAGTAGAGACACGTGGAATATTGGGTGGAGTTTACACCCAGCTGGAAGTTCCAACCGATAAGCCACCTGGCCAATCCTCTCTAAGATCTGAAAGGGCCCATAATATCGGACAACCAGCTTTTGTGACTTTCGAGCTGCTACGGAATTCTGGCGATATGGTTGCAACTTCAGAAAAACCTTGTCTCCCACCTGAAACATCCTGTCTGTTCGATTCCGGTCTGCAATCTTCTTCATCCTGTGTTGGTCCTGTAGTAAGTTTTCCTTCAGTATTCAAACTAAGATGTCCCTGTTCTTAAGGGAGTGAGTTTTGCAAGGTGCCAACCAGCTGGTTGGTAAGGTCTCCTGCTGGTTGTAGCGGAGACTTGGGATCAAATCCCACCCTGGGTTGGGGGATGGGCTACGGGCTACCCCCGTTGTGTAGTAGCCCTTCCAAAGATATCAAAAAAAAGGGTGTGAGTTTTGGGGCTGAGTGGAAGTTTGTACTGTACCACCATTCAGCCCGTGGGAGCCATCTCACCCAAGTATGAGGCTGTTCACTAATGAAACTTCTGAGATAATTTTCAAGAGTCTGTTTCAAGACCTCAGTTTGACCATTGGAATGAGGGTGATAAGCAGAGCTCATGTTGAGCTAGGTGCCTTGAATTTTGAATAACTCCCAGAAATTTCCTGTACAAATAGGATCTCGATCACTGACGATAGATTGGGGCAGACCATGTAACATGAAAATTCCTTCCATGAATAGCTGGGAAACATCCTGGGTGGTGTATGGATGAGATAGACGTAGAAAATGCCCATATTTTGTCAGCCTGTCAATGACTTCCAAGACCACTGATTTCTTGTTAGAGATTGGAAGGCCCTCTATAAAGTCAAGCGAAATAACAGACCATGCTTGTTCTGGAATTGGGAGGGGCTGAAATAAGCCTGGTATGGGCACATTCTCATTCTTGACTCTTTGACAAGTGTTCRCAATCCTTAATCCATCTCTTCACTTATTTTCTATAACCTTTCCAACAACACATCACCTTGAGTCTTTGCATAGTGTTAAAGAACCTAGAGTGCCCCCAGATGGTGATGCATGAGCCTCATCAAATTCTTCTTCTGAAAATGTAGTGGGGATTGAGAACAATGTGCCCCTTTTTCAAGAGTAGCCCATTGCGCCATTCATATTGGTGTTCCTGAGTTTTGCCTGAACCTCCTGGATGCTTTTCTATAGTTGGGGGTCTTTAATGACTTCTATCTTAAGCTCCTCCACCCATTTGGGAACCAATCGGGAAATGGCATGGATTTCCCCATCTACCTTTCTGGATAAAGCGTCGTCCACTGTATTGTCTCGTTCCCTCCAATGGCAAATTTCATAGTCATAGCTGATTAGTTTACTGATGAGTCTCTGCTGTGTGGGTGTTGAAATCCCTCTATTGCAATATGTACTCCAAGCTACGGTGATCTATAACAATGCGAAATTTAGCTCCCAGAAGTTAATGTCTCCATTCTGGACAACAAAGACTACTGCCAGTAATTCTTTGTCGTATGTGGATAAGTGGAGAGCTTGTCCCTTCAGTGCCTTGCTAAAAAATGCTATTGGCCTCCCCCTCTGTACTTGCACTGCTCCTTGCCCATTACCACAAGCATCTGTTTCTAATGTAAACAGTGCTTGGAAATCTGGGGTGGCTAAGATGGGAGTGGATGCCATGGCTGATTTCAAGGATTGAAAGGCCAATTCTGCTTCTGGACTCCATAACCATTCCCCTTTCTGTAACAATTTGGTGAGAAGTGCTGCAGTGTTCTCGTAATTCCGAACAAATTTCCGATAATACCCTGTTAACCCAAGGAAGCCTCTGAGTTCCTTGACAAAAAGATGGTCTCGGCCATGCTACCATGTCTTGGCCTTTTTCTGGATCCACCTCTACCCCTTGGGATGAGATAATGTGACCCAAGTAGCTGATCTTGTTCACTCCAAACTGTCATTTACTTCGCTTAGCAAACAGCCGATGGCTCCTGAGAATTTCTAATGCACTCCTAAGATGAATTAAATGTTCTTCCCTGGAACCACTGTAAACTAAGATATCATAAAAAGAAACCAAAATGTATTGCCACAGTTGTTCTCAGAATACCTAGTTCATCAAAGCTTGGAAAGTGGAGGGAGAGTTTGACAACCCGAACGGCATTGGCCTTCATGAGTGCGGAAAGCAGTCTTTGGTATGTCTACCTCTTGAACTTGGATCTAGTGATAGCGTGACTTGAGGTCCAGCTTGGAGAAAAAATGGGCTCCATGTAATAATTCATCAATCAATTTGTTGATAATGGGCATCGAAAATCTATCTCTGATGGTTGCTCTATTCAACGCTCTATAGTCGATGCATTATTGCCACCCCCCATCTTTTTTTTTTTTAACTAAGAAAACCAGGGAAGAAAACAAGCTTTGGCTGGTTCGAATAATTCCTTCCTTAAGCAAGTCCTTGATGATCCTTTCAATTTCTCATTTCTGGAAGTATGGATAGTGATATGGACACACGTTAACTGCCTTGGATTCATCGTTTAAATGTATAGCATGGTCACACTGTCGCAGTGGAGGCAAACCCATCGGACTCTAGAATACATCTTCAAACTCAGCCAGTAAAGATATGATATCTGGGTCCGTTGGTTCTCCTGTCACATTTCCTGAGGAGGTTAGTTGTAGTAAGTAAATTTGATCTGACTTACCACCTTAGAGGGTCTACCCACATCCATCCGTTGTGTGAAAGAATTCTGTGTTCCCTTGATGAGGTCTTCCCTTATCATCAGTGAACTGCAAATTTAAGGTGGCAAAATCCTATACCACTAGTCCAAGGGTTCTCAGCCAATGAGCTCCGAGGACTACATCATAACAAGGCAAGATATGGAAATCTGTTGTAATTGTACCTTTAGAGGTTCAGATGGGTATCTTCAAGCACTTACCATCTCCAATGATTTTTTCTCCATTGGCTACTTGTACCTCGAATGGTGTTATTGGGGTTACAGGTAGTTTCTACCTTTTCACCACTGGAGGGTCCATGAAATTATGTGTAGACCCACTGTCGATCAGCAGCAGCAATAGGTGACTGTCTATATGACCTTGAATGTGCATGGTCTGCGGGGAGCTAGATCCATTCAGAGCTTGAAGAGAAATCTCCGGGATTTCTTCTGTAAATTCAGGTTACTCTTYGTTTCTTCAAGTTCTTGTTCATCATTCAAGGTTGCAACAATCTAGAAAAGCTTTTGGTTCTTGCAACAGTGTTGAGGGGTACAACTTTCATCGCAGTTAAAGCATAGACCTCGATCTCTCCTTTCTTGTTCTTCTGTTGGCGTCAGCTTCTTCACCTTTAGAATTTGCTTCTGATTTGGGATAGGGGTGGAGTTACCCACACAAGTTTTGCTAGGATCTCCTCTCACCAGTTATTGTTTGATATTCCATTCTTCTTCCTTAAAGAGTCCAGTCGAAGGGTCTTAGATATTGAAGGTGGCTCGGACTTTTCAACATGTGCTCTTAATTCTGGGCGGAGTCCTGCTATGAAACAGCCCACTAGGAACTCATTCGAGACCCCCTTGACTCTGCTAGCCAGGTGTTGAAATTCCTCCATGTAATCTTGGATCATAGCCGTTTGAGAGAGTTGTGATAATCTCCTCGCAATTGTGATCATGTGGGTTGAGACTTGAGAATGTGGTCTTTGAACTAGCAATACTAGTCAATTGCCTTTCCTTCGAACCCCAAGCTGGCCATGGAAATCCACTGATCGTCAGGCACATCCTGTACTTCAAAGTATTGCCGTATGAGGATGAGCCACCCATCAACATTGGTTTCATTTAATCGAGGTAACTCCACCTTGAAATATCTCGGAGCTGAACCCCGTAGTGCCAAAATGAGCTGAACCTTCCACTCCCTTACCTTGATCCAAGGAACCTCCTGGAACAAAACGTTGACTAGTCTCCTCTACTCCCCATGGTTTCAGGTGGTTTAGCTTGCCAAGCATTTCATCCAGCTTCCGGTTCATTTCCTCTTGGTTTTTCTCCACATTGCTCAACCGATCTTCGGCGTCAAACATCCTGCTATCCTCATGCCCAGTCGACTTTGATTCCAATCTGATATCAGTCTCTTCTAGTAGGTGAGAAGAAGCCTTAGTCTTACCCTGAGCTACTGTTCTACACTACTCACAAGGGAAATAAAGATGAAAGGAATAGTGATTTACTATTACTCAATGAGTCAATGATCCTCCTTCCTGATTTGGTAATACATATATAGAGAAAAAAAGGAAAATTGTTATAACTAACTAGTGACATGGTACCCAATGATTACTGCTGATAATGTCCTAATCATAAGAGAAAATCGCTGCCTAACGATTTAACAGAAAAGACAATTTTGGAGTCAGGATTCGGAGGAGTCTCGCCAGCTTTGATGGGGACTGGTCCAGGCATTATAAGATACATTCTCATAAGAAGGCCAACAAACAGGTTT